ATGCACAAAGGATTTGAGACAATGTTTCACTATCCTTGCCTCTAAGGATTACTCTGGTTGCCCTTCCTATTTAACTGGTACTCTTTGTTGACACAATTCAAAGACACTGATTGTTGTTGTTGTTATGTGCCGTCGAGTTGTTTGCGACTCATAGCGACCCTATGTACAACAGCCCTAAACCGTGTTCTATCCTGTGCCAATCTCATTGCCTCTGACACACCCATCCCGATTACCCCAGTCACTGAATCAATCCACCTCATAGAGGGTCTTCCCCTCCTGCCCTGTCCCTCTACTCTACCCAGCATGATGTCCCTCTCCAAAGACCTGTCTCTCCTTACAACATGTCCAAAGTATGTCAGACGAAGCCCCAGAATCCTTGCCTCCAAGGAGTAGCCTGGTTTAACCCTCTCTATGATGAATCTGTTTGTTTTCTTGGCAATACATGGTACATTCAATGATACTCTTGTCATTCTTCATTACTCAACTTTCAGATGCATAGGAAACAATTGAAAATGCCATGGCTTGCATCAGGCACACCTTAGTCTTTAAACAGATAATCCTATTCTTTCGTATTTTGGAAAGACTTAGGCATCAGATTTTCCCAATGCAACACATCTTGATTTCTTGACTACTGCTGCCATGAGTGTTGATTGTGAATCTGAGCAAAATTAAATAGATGACAGTTTCAGTCTTTTTTCCATCTATCATGATGTTGAGGGGCAATGGTGAGGATTTATGTCTTCTTAATGTTGAGGTATAATCCATACTGAAGGCTGTAGTCTCTGATTCTCTTCATTAAATGCTTCAAGTCTTCACTTTTTGCAAGAAAAGTTGTGTCATCTGCATAACGTAGTGTATTAATGAATCTTTCTTTAATCCTAATGTCCTAAGATTTATAAGCATAAAGGATCTATAGGTCACTAGAGGAACTCTGGTAGCCAAGTGGTAAATTGCACTGTCATCCCTAAGGCACGCTATTCAAAGCCACCAACTGCACTGTAGGAGAAAGATGGGTAATCTGCGATGCAATTCCAATTCCTGAAAACCTGCTGGAGGGTCAGCTCTGAGTTGGTTTCAATTTGACAGAACATAGCAAGAAAAATAGGTTGCTATGAGGATGTATGGTGAAGAGATTGAGATTGTTCACAGCTTCAGTTTGCTCGGCTCCACGGTCAACACTCTTGGCACCAGCAGCCAGGAAATAAAAAAAACCCCAAACATATTGTGATGGGAAAGTCTGCGGTTAGGGACCTCTCTAAAGTACTCAAGAGCAACGGTGTCTCTCTGGAGACTAAGGTGCGCCTGATACAGGCCATGGTCTTTGCAATCACATCAGAGAGTTGGACAATGACTAGGGAGGATAGAAGGAGAATTGACGCCTTTGAGCTGTGGTGCTGGATGGAGAAGAGTATTGAATGTACCATGTACTGCCAAGAAAACAAATAGATTCATCCTGGAGAGGGTTAAACCAGGCTACTCCTTGGAGGCAAGGACTCTGGGGCTTCGTCTGACATACTTTGGACATGTTGTAAGGAGAGACAGGTCCTTTCCTTGGAGAGGGACATCATGCTTGGTAGGGTGGAGGGACAGCACAGGTGGGGAAGGCCCTCTATGAGGTGGATTGATTCAGTGACTGGGGTAATCGGGATGGGAGTGTCAGAGGCAATGAGATTGGCACAGTACAGAGCAGGGTTTAGGGCTGTTGTACATAGGGTCGCTATGAGTTGCAAACGACTTGACAGCACAAAACAACAACAACAACAAGAGTCAGAATAGATTTTATGGCATCGGTTTTATTATTTTTTAAAATTCTAGGATGTCGTTAAAATTAAGAATTATCCTTGTAGGTGATTTGTTAGTCAAATTTAAGATTCCAAAGTCTGAAATACATAGGCTTTGATGATAAAATGTTTAAACATCACAGACTTTTTTTTTCTGTTGTAGTTTAAGATCTGTGAGTATTATTTCCATTTTCTGTGTGTATTGTATGTTGTCATTGTTGTGTACCATAGAGTCGGAACTGATCCACAGCTGACCCTCCAGTGGGTTTTCAGAGACAGTAAATCGCACAGAAGGAGATTGTCCATCCTTCTCCCACTGTGTGTACAGAACATTAAAAATATAAGCATAAAATGGTATCCTCAAGATTATTCAGAGAATTAATATTTTAATGTAAAACATATAACATTAAATCCAATGGGCTTATAAGTAGTAAAAGGAAGTTTCAAATATGTGGTTTTGAGAAGGATGTGTCTGTGGAGATCAGGAGGAGGGTTGTATATATGCATGTATTTATAACTATGTGAATACAAACAAACATATGCAATTAAGATAACATGTAATACAAGCAAAAAAAAATTAGACAACACTCAGTGGTGAGAACTGAATCTTAAAGAGCATTGCCATATATAGTAATTTAGCAGAAAGACTTTTTACATTCATTGGAAGCTTCTTGTATTTGTTTTGTTGTTGTTATTAAGTGCCATCGAGTCACAGGTAACTCATAGCGACCCTATGAAGGAGAGTCCTCAACGTTTGGGTGTCTCTCATCCTCTCTCCAGGTTCATAGGGTTTCCTGAGGCAAGCTATTACGGAAGTGGATGCCACTCCTCCTAGGCACTATAAATTGGTTGGTCACTAAATTCTCCTTTTTGTAAAGGAACCCAATTTTATGCATGGTGGCAATATATCTAGGTTAAGACCACACTTCTAGGCATCTTTGTAGCCAGGTACTAAGTTCTAGTTGAGAAATATGCAGAATATTTTGAGTGAGACCACTAAGAAGGGCCTTAAAAGAGGTTCTAACATCAGTAGCCTGGGCTTCTGACCATTTGGCATCACTGCTGCCTGGAAGGCAAGTGTGAAACCTGAACCTCTGTAGCCATCTTGGAACATGAAGAGACCTGGAGCAGAAGCCAGTGCTGAGGGTAGCAGAGCAGAACACTGAAAGGTGCTTATTTATAAGACTGGGAAGCCACTATTACAGCCCCATCTAATCCCTTTGTGAAGGAAAAGAAATCCTTCTGTGTTCAAAGTAGCGCTCATCTAGATGTTCTGTAGTATGAAATTAAAACTAATCTTAACTGACATATTTCATAATCCAATACAGACTCTACCTAAGAGGAAGATCTACCGATGAGGAACTTCCTAAGGAGCTGTTTGTTACCTATCTCCTTTCGCTTACTTTTCACACACATTATGCATCCCCTCTGTTCACAGTTTCTGTTTTGTTCCATGTGACTCCTCTCTCCCAACATAAATCCTCAGCACAGAGTGGACTGAGTGCATTTTTTTTTTTAAGAATCATTCTTTTTTATGAGAGGAACTTGACACAGATCCTGATGTAGAATGAGTGAGTAATGAATTGATGAGTCTTCAAAGAAAGAACAATGAGACAGGCAGGTAGGCAAAGAGAAAACAAGGGTACACTGAGGTAGAAGGCCTGGTTGTGTGGTCAGGGAATAAATTGACTGAGTGACAGGCCAGCAGGCCCACCTCCTGTTAGCAGTTTTCTCCATACAGGACATGACTGAGTTTAGTTTCTAGTCTCTATCTTTATCACCAAGATTACTTCCAATCTCTCTTTCTACTTTTAAGTATGTTCCTATTTTTTTTTGTGAGCAACAGCACTTTGAAGAGGACAGAGATGTTTTTGGATGTGACTTGATAAGAGATATATCTCCTAACATTTTACTTGAAACTCAGAACTTTGCCATATGCGCTGGTAATATAAAGATCAAATAAAAATAAAATTAAGGAATACACACTACTTCCAAAGACTATCGCATGGTTAACCTTGAGAAACACATGATGGGGTACATGGATTTGGATTTTAATGGTGATATTACAGGTTTTGTAATTTAAAACATAAAGGACATTGTTTTGATGTGTGAATGGCACAGAACATAGCAGTATCATGAACATTAAACACATAATATGGCTCTGAGGAGGCTGTAGAAATGTTACGATGAGACATCAAGCTCAGAAAGTGGGTTTGAAAAATCATGACTTCTTTCACCCTATGATGTTTATATATTTAAAAAGCCATGAACAGCACTAGGATACTAGAGTATCTGTGCTGCCAACCAGAAGACTGCCCATGCTTCATTATTTGAATTCAGCAGTGGCTCTGAGAAAAGTAGAGGGACAGTCTTCTGATCTGTTTAGACATTATGGTCTACAGGTTTGGAAACTTGGTGGAAGATCTCTCTCTCTGAGTTGAAATCAACTTGACGGTGGTGAGTGAGTGACTGATATTACTATAGTGTGCATGTCAATAACAAGGAATTGCTTTAAAAGCACCAGATGGGTTTTTTCATAATGACTAAAAGATCATGAGGTAAAGCAGAAATGGGAAAGACAACGATAAAACTATAGCCTATCGGCATTATGAGACAAAGAAACAGACTTAAGAAGAAGAGAATAAATGTCTTGTGTTAAACAGATGTCTCTGAGCTGATTTAGGAGTCGTATTGTTAAGAGGTAGAATATTAATAAGACTAATAATAGTGAGAATACAATTACACGGATCTAAGAATATGTGCAAAGCATTTAATGCTCAAGATGCACAAATTTAATTTTTTTTATGAATTAAGATATTTAGTTAAGAGCTAAAGTCCATTGCTGTTAGAGAATATGAGGTTTTCCTAAATTCACTGGAGGATCATAGTAAATCATTGATAGTCCTGGAGTATAAAGACATTTTCTGGTACTACTAAAACAAGTTATCTTTTTCATTTTTTTAAAATACATTTTTTCTTTTATTATGGTTTCCTTACAAAGTTTGTATACATCGGTTTTCACACTGGATCTTTCCTTTTTCCTTTCCCATCCCTCCCTCTACCCATGAAATTATGCGACCTTATGATTACTCTCCTGCTCATCCTCACCCCTCTGCTTTGACCTCACCCCCCATGCAAGATCCATCATTTGTAAGAAGGGCAGACTGAAAAGAAGCTTACAGGGGCCTCTTGTTATCCCTTCTAATTTTTTTTACTTACAGTTTGGGTTTAGCCAGGACTGGAGGGGGCTCTTTAATAGGTGAAGAAGGCTCAGAGACTTTTGCTGTCTGTCCATTGAACCTCTCGGGGAAAGAATTAGGCCTGGCCTGGTTGGCAGTGAGCATTCCGCTCTCGGAAGATGCTTCGCTCCCTTTGTCATCTTCAGGCAGATTAAAGTGCACACGGAGGCCAATCCTTGAGCTAGATCGGGGCTCATTGTGGTTCACCAGAACACCTTCCAGTTTGGGTTTCGGGGGTTGTTCCACAGAAGTGGGCTCTGGGTTGGGTGGGGATGGCTGTTGCTCAATGACAGTCAGGTTGTTGGTAGAGGTGGCTGAATGAAGAGACCCATTACTGCTGGCGTCTTCGTTTCCTGCAAGGACAATCACAGGCCTGAGCTGTTAACCCTACCTGAAAGGCTAAAACAGGAGAGTAACTCTTTTTTGTTTTTTTAATAAAAATTTTTATTTTTCATAATCCTTATATTTGGTGCATATACATTGTGTTTTATACAGTCCTTTATTTATATAATATTTTGTTGCATATAATGGACCTTTTTTTTTTTACAATGTATTTTATAAAATAATATCGTAACACTGGAGTCAGGCTTGGATACAAACAGGAAAGTATCAGATAGGAAAATGTTTCTCAAAATCTGAGAACGTAATCTAGCCATTAAAAAATGAAAATTTTACTTTTCAAAAAGAAGAGGGAACTGGGAGGGAGGGCTGGACAGGAAGAAAAGTGCAAGAATGAATGAACGGAAATCCAAAGTCTCTGTACATTTTCATTAAAATGAATAATAATAAAAAATCAAACTTAAAAAAATTAGATTAGCTAAATCTCTTATTCAATACAAGACAGAAAGATGAAATATCTTATTAGGAACCATTCTAAAAAAAAGAGAAATATTTGCTATAATTAACATGATATATTTCATAGAATGGATACCTATTTCTGAATACCAATCTGAATATGGGAAAAAATAGCTTTGTGTTAAAACCACTAGAAAAATCAAATGAAATGTTCTTTTTTAATAAAAAGTAGCTTGAAATAAAAAAAAATTCAGAAAGTTAAAAACCAAAACAAATAGACCAAAAAACGCTGAAATGAACGTCTAGGTACTGTTTTGGGAGGGATTGTGGAAGTTTATGTGTAACTAAGGAGTTCTGGGGTTTAGGGAGTATAAAGATGCTCTGGTGGTACAGACATTAAGCACTTGGCTGCTAGTCCAAGTGATGAAAACATGCCAGCTTTGCCTCAGCAGAAATTCATAAACATTCTCAAAACATGTTGTCAATCTAGTCAGATCCTCTGTTGGATTTCCAAGGTTATAAATCACAGTTGAGGAGATTTCCCACCTTTATCCTGCAGAGTGGCTGGTATATTCCAATTTCCAAAAAGGTGTGACCTTTGGGGTTCTAACACAACTCTTTATAGGCTGAGCCACCACCGCTCCATAAAGATCACAGTCTTGGAAACTTTATAAACCTACTCCACGCTTAGTAATGTGGTTAAGTTTCAAAGACCAAGCAAGTTGTTATATAAAAATTTGCTTGGCACTACACAAAAAATAGAGGATTATTATATCAGATCACAAAGCGGAAGATGACCACATCATTACATAAATACTAAAACACATCATTAATTAATTGTTAAATTACATCATTATATACTTACCAGAGTATATCATTACATAACTACCAAACCAATGAGAATTATGACCCAACTACATAAACTTAACTATTATAGTCAGTATTGCTTCTGCCTCATACAACCAGACGTGTCATTAAGGTGTAAAATAATCAGGTAGTAGAGTTTTAAACTACTGTCATAAGTGTAAAATATTGGATAACAAGATAGTCAATAAGTAAAGAATAGGTGTAGGGTCAGTACACCCTCTCCTATAGAGTCAGATTTCAGGTAACGGCAAATGGTATAATAGAAAATAACAGGTATAATTGTGGAGGGGATAATAGTGGTGATTCTAAATGCAATATAAAAAGGCTAGTAACAACGGAAATTCAAGATTATTTTCTTTGATAATTTAACTCTTTTTAGGACAGCCAGGTTTACACAAACTCTCTATAGCCACAGGACTGTCATAGTCTGCTATGGCATTAAGCAAGCCCTTACCTCTTACATCTAGTTGTGCGATGCTTGACACGGTGCCGTATTTGTTGCTTGCTGTGCATGTGAAGCACCCAGAATCCTCTGCAAATACTTCAGCAATGACCAAAGTACAGATCTCCTCTAGATGTCAGTAAAACAAAATGGTTACTGACTTTATTATGGAGAGAAGTGATGAAATATACTGATACCAAATGATGATTCAACAAAAGCTACATGAGAAGCTGACTATAGTAATTATTTAAAAATAATTAACCAAAACAATTGATTAGTAGATGAAATAAGTCAAAGGGTATAGACCCAATAACTCTAAGCAAACAGACTAATTATATCAAAAGTGGATTGTGTAATCATATAATAAAAGACATAAAATATATTCCCATTATTTTCTTCTCTTTTTATTCCATGAGTCTAGATGACAGAAACAGAATAGTGTAAAAACAAAACCCACAAAAAAACAAATCAGTGATCAAATCATGTTGTTGTTGTTGCTGTTAAGTGCCGTTGAGTCATAGGCAACTCATAGCTACACTTGCGTGCATGACTTTCATCCTTTCTCTAGGTTCATAGGGTTTCTGGAGGCAAGCTATTTATGGAAGTGGATGCCCTTCCTGCTTTCAAGCTTGTTTCAACCGGGGAGCTCCACCAAACACTGTCCACCATGGGTAACCGTTATCTCATTTGACACATCAGTGTCACAGTGTTCAGCTTCACAGCGACCACAAGTTACCTCTGCACGGCAACTGGACACATCAGGGTTATACAACCTAGAAGACTGCCTCTATGAAACAGTTTTAAACCTTTTCAGGATTTCCATGAGAAACTTTTGCAGCCAGGCAATTTTAATAAAAATCCACAATTTGAAATTTTACTTCATTTCAGAGGGATTGGCATTGTACTTTTAGAAAAGAAGCCAAAAAAAAAAAAATCCACTGACAGAGTAATTTGCAAATTTGGATGGAAAGGAGAAATGCTTCTCTCTTTTTGTAATATGATAGTAATCTTCTATTGATTATTATGATGCACTGCATGAGGTTCTGCCAATAATTACATAGATATTTCCTGGAAAGAACCATACTACCAAAGTCTAACAATATTAGAATTACATATTTTTCAATAGCTATCGAAGAGGAGGTCTAAGACAGTAGCATAAACTCTCAGATGTCAGGTAATATAACTAACTGAAAACTAAATCATTGCTGTTGCTTTGAAACCACCTCCTAGCTGACTCTCTGGCAGATTTTTAGAGGCTGTAAGTCACTTGAGAGGAGGAGTGCCTCTTTCTCCCAAAGAGCAGTCAGTTGATTCAAATTCCCTGCCTTTGGGTTGACAGTCCAACTCCTTATCTACTCAGTTAATATACCTAGCATTAAAAACAAAATTACTAAAATGTATTCTCTTAGGGAAGGCTTCCTGGGAACAGATTGGATTAGCTAGACAACCTGTCAAAACTGGACAGGAGTTAGCAGACAGTCTTGAGCCCTTCACCTTCTGTCTTCTGTTTTCATAGTATCCTACTTCTACAACAACAACAGTATAGCCTACTTTCCTTGAGACGAGTTGGCTTCAAATGGTAAACTGTAATTGGTGCAAACCAATCATTAACTATTGTTTTTAAGCAGTAGCACATGAAACACAATTTTTATCAATGAAATGTGAAAGAAAGTCTGCTGGTGAGTTTCTGGGAAACTTTTCCTTACTGTCTATAAGGGAAAAAAATTGGTGTTATTTGCTCTCTCTCTCTCTTTTTGGCCTTTGGGGATTGTCATCTACATTTGAGGGTTGGAACTCTGGCAGCAGTCTTGGGTTCATGAGTAGAACCATCCTAAAAAGATAACTCTCAAATTGTCAGAATGGGGGAAGGAAAAAGACAAAAGTTTAGTTCCTGGTAGTCACTGAACTGCTAAGCTAACTAACCTCAATCCTGCTATTGATTATTGCTATGTGACAAGATACGTTTTTGACTTCTTATGGCTTTTGCTACGTTAAGTCACATCTTTATTTGTTGTGTGAAGAATTTGAAATAATTGAAAGGCAAAATTTAGTTTTGGTGTCTTTCTGTCATTTTTTTTAGTCCTTGGATTCTGCTGTCTTTGTTGCCTTGTCCAAGAATTAATGCTCTGTCTTTCTGCAACCTGATCTCAGAAAATTATCTGATAAATTAACTCTCACTACACTATTATCTAAAATATGGACCTCTTCCAGTCAGTTGGCCAGGTAGTTGGCCTCCAAATTTCTTGGCACAACCTTGTGAGCACATCCAGAGCAGCATCTGTTTATTGAAATATGTCATTTGGTATGTTGTCATTTTCTGGGGCCTTATTTTTTGCCAATTCCTTCAGAGCAGCTTGAACTTCGTTCTTCATCACCACTGCCTCTTGATCATATGTTGTTTCATGAAAGTCTTCTGTGTAAGTCAATTCTTTTTGGTACAATGACTCTGTATACTCTTCATATCTTTTTTTTTTTTAAATGCTTTCTGGATCATTTAATATTCTGTCATAGCATCTTTAAGTATTACAACTCAAGGCTTGAATTTCTTCTTTAGTTCCTTCAGTTTAAGAAAAGCTGAGCAAGATTGGCCCTTTTGATTTTCTGACTCCAGATCCTTGCATATTTCATTATAATACTTTGCTTTGTCTTCTCGTGCTGCCCTTTGATATAGATGGAGAAGATATTGAAGTTGTTAACAATTTCAACTTTCTAAGCTCCACAATCAACACTGTTGGCACCAGCAGTCAGGAAATCAAAAGATGAATTGTACTGTGGAAGTCTGCTGTTAGGAACCTCTCCAGAGTGCTGAGGAGCAAGGATGTCAGTCTGGAGACTAAGGTGTGCCTAATCAGGTGCTATGCATCAGAAAGCTGGACAATGACTAAGGATAACAGAAGAAGAATTGATGCCTTTGGGTTGTGGTGCTGGAGAAGAGAATTGAACCTGCCATGGACCACCAAGAGAGCAAATAGGTCTGTCTTGAAGAGGGTGAAGCCAAGTTTCTCCCTGTAGGCTAGGATTTTGAGGCTCTGTCTCACATATTTTGGGCACAGGGCTAGGAGGAACTAGTCCTTGGAGAAGGACATCATGCTTGGAAGGGTATATGGGAGATAAAGGCCTCAGATGAGATAGACTAACATGATAACTAGAACAATGGAATTAGGTGTGTCAGTGAGAATGGTTCAGGATAGGGCAAGATTCAGAGCTGATGAGAGCAAATGAAATAACAGTAACACTTTATCTGCTCAAAAGGAGTAAATTGAGATGTTTTTAAAGGGTATTAGTTTCTCTAAGAAAGAAGGAAGAATTCCCTAACTGTGAAATATTAGGAATCATGGAGTTGGATTGTTTTGAGCCAGGATCTCTTTTGGTTGAGTCTGAAATGACTTTTTATTTGCTTACTGAAACAACTAATTTTTATGAAAATGTCAAAGGCCTAATTGAGATGGAGGTATCAAATGTCTAAATTATTTTTAAGAGAAGACTACAAACAATGCAAGAGGAAAGGTAACTTCTGGTCTTTATCATGTGTCTCCAAGAACCAAATATGAACTTGGATGCCCAGGGTCTACTTCTGAAACGTCTTTCCCATCACTGTTAGCAGACAGAATAATAATAATAATAATGAAATTCTTAAGTTGTGGTTCAGATACAGTCTAATATATATTCCAAATCGGCACATGCTCAACTCTTTCCTTTTCCTTACTTTAATAATTAGCTAGAGGTGGTTTGGAAACATTTACTATTATTTCTGTTTTTGACACAGGAAAAGTTCCAATTTGTTCTTATATATTTGTCACATTACTGAATACATACTACTAATTAAAATAGAAATGATCTTTTACCTGGTTCTGCCATGGACCGAGGTTCTGAAAGAGAAGAGGGGAAAGAGTTAGAGACTGAGC